GCTGCCAGAGCCGAGTCTTTTTTTGGTCTCTATGTCATGCAACGAGCTCTTCAGGCACAGATCAAGACAAGGCGATGCCCGGAGCTTGACCTCTGCAATACGCATGGAGCCACGCATCAATTCAGACTTTCTTTGGAGCGCATAGAGCCAACCACAACAAGATACATGTTTTTTTTTTGAAAATCAAACCTGACTTATGGCTGGCACTCAGTCTTACTTCTGCACCCCTTGCTTTGCAAGTGTGCTTAAAACTGCGAATCTTTGATCATGCAACCTCTAGCAAATGGAGTCGAGATGAGCCCTTGGGCACGCGGTGATACTGCCGGGTTCGTGGAACGAAACATGGCAACGGGCCACTTTCCACGCACCCCTTTGGAAAAAAGAAAGGGCTTCGAGCCTTGTCCAGGCGACGAACATTTATCTCCGCGAAAAAGTCCTTGGACTCAAACATCCACCACCTTTGCAGGTCTGCAAACAAGAGATGTCCAAGCCCCAAATTACGACAGCAAGGCTCATACGCAGCCTGCTGAGTTCATGAGTTCATTCCCAGCCGCTTGAAACAGCACGAGCCTGGCCAGCGAACAGACCGAGGAGTTTGACGCATCCTCAGAGTATGGCTTCAGCCATTCGGGACCGATTCGGGACCTATGCCCAAGGATCCTCAAAGCCAAGGTGTCCTCAAGCATCTCTGAAACTGACAGCCATCACCTTTTATCCTGGGGTCATGACTAATGGACCAACATGCGAAAGCCAAAAGGTCAAAAGCCTGAAATGGATTCGCTTTGGACGCCAAAGCCAATTTGCTGGATTTGGTCCAAAGGTCAGCTTTCACCGCACATCTGCTGGATCTCATGAGACTTCCCGAGCCCTTCGGCCGGCTTTTTAGGCCTTTCGAAGCCCATTTCTTTTCCGCGCCTTCTGGACGGCCTTCATGGCGGAGCCGCCCGCCCCAGGCTCCGGGGCACGGGCGGCCTCGCAGGCAAGAAAGCCTTTGGGGATTTTCTTTTTGTGAAAACCCATAGGGGATGGTTTTTGCCTTTGGGAAGTCCATTTCTCATTCCCTTGTCGATCCAGCAAGTCACTTGCCCGACATGTTTCACGCTCTTGACCCAGTCAAAAGTGTTTTACACAAACAGACCCCTGAGATCGGTTGGTTTCCTTTTGGTTCCGTGACACGGGTCTCCAATTGATTATCCTAAGTAAGCCAAAAGCTCGCTTTAGGCAAGAGCTCGAGATGCCGAGGACATGGTTCTCCAGGACCAACCCCTTCAGCTTCCACATGTAGCTGCGTTTCGAACATGCCAGGTCTTCATGCCTTCCTGATCTAGTTATCTGCTGGGCTTCAGTCTAACCAGCCTGGCTTTGGCATTGCAACGAAATCGACTCACGCCTCAAAATGCGGGCACGGACAATAATGTCGGGAGGGCAAACCAGTGGTTGCACGGGCTTGCGCCAGAATTCAACATGACGAAAATGTGGTCCTCTATTCGGGTGTCCTTTTTCAAGGCTCGGTACCCTGTTGGCGGTTAGTGTAAGGAAACCATCCATTCTGAGGGATCCTGTATTTTGAGACACCCCCACACAGGTTTGTCAAAAAATTAAGGCATTTGACCTTTTCACCCCCCCATAGCCAGGTTTACCCCTTTGCCCTCCCTTAGGTAGACCTATAAATGGTTAAAAGCCTAGGTTACCGATAACTTGCTTGGCCGAAAACCCAAGTCTAGGTCCTCCAGTAGAGAGGAGAGAATAAGGGTACCCTTTTTTCTGTAGTCTATTTCAGTAGGGGAACCCTCCCCCAAAAAAGAAGAGGTAAAAGGGCACCTAGCTGGGGGACCAAGACAACCAACTCATGTGAATCGAGGCCCAAGCTCTGCTGCCAGCGGCAGAGTTGGGTCTGCCAGCGCTGCGCAGGGGCGCTGACACCTCGAACCCACATCTTGGATGTTCAACCCATTTATATGCTTAAATGGTCGATGTATATATATATACATATGTGTATTGCTGTATACTTCCGTAGTTGTATGATGTATGTGGTGTGTATATATGTATATATTGTTATATGGTTTATATGTTGTATACCTATGAGCATATAGTCAAGCTATGTATATATATATATATATTAATTCACTTGGCAAAGGCATGCTGTGGTTTTTGTAGTGCCATGTGTTGATATTCAAGAACATACATATTTGTATATATATATATATGTGTGAACATTTTTGGTCCCCCCCGTTTTCTCAGTTGTGATGGTCATGACCATGAAGCTGCGAGATATATTTTGGCGGGCAGACATATGGAGGGCAACGGCATCAGTCCTGCCTCAAAGACGAACCCAACACCAGTAGTTTGGAACGCATATACGCCCTATATTGTGGTGTCTTTTTTTGGGGAGACTCCAAAAATGGTAGTGTTCCTTTGGGTTTCCCTTTTAAACCAACCAAAAGAGGGTTCCCCTCCAAAAAGACTAACTCCATATGTTTGTGCAACAAGGAGGCCTTTTAAGTACAACCCTCCCTCAGCACCTGCGCTTTCGAAACTCCGAACTCCGGCCCGGCAGCGGGCCTTGTCCGTGCGCTCGCGGCTGGGCGGACCTGGCGCATGGAGGTATCTAAAGGCCCGGTGGGGAAGGCAGACACCCAACGCAACGAGCTCAAAAAATTGGAATCCGACGCCAAAACATGATGAAGTCACCATTTGGCCATGGGTCAAAAGTCCGTACCCCCAGTGAACATCCCAATCCCCACTAAAATAATTTCTAAAATGGGTGGTGCACCTACCAACCAAAATGGGATCCCATTGGTTTTGACCCACAGCCATTTGGTTGCAAGGCCATGCAAGGCCAATGTGATTCACCGCACCTCCCCGCGAGCCAGCCGCGGACAAAGGTCTGGCCGGTGAGGCTGGGGATGACGCCCCTGGCGAGGTGCCGTTGTGACAAAGCACCAGGCGACTGACAAAGCGCGGCAAAGTGGTCAGACAAAATTCACCTGCATGCTGATTGGGAAACAAAAACGTAGATGACAGTGACAGCGCTGTTTGAATGCAGATAGCGGAATTTCGATGGCCATAGACCCCAACTTCAACATCGTCGGCTCCAGTTTTGTTGGACAAATGTTTCTCCATGCGCCGACAAATCCACATGTTTTTGTTGCCCTTTCCCAGGGCCTCGCATTTTTCCACAGAGTTCACGGAAACATGAATTGCAATCCTCAAGCGAAGGAGGCCGACAGCTTCAGGTCTACCAACTTTGCATGTTGAAACCCACCGGTCCCTGGGCCGTGTCGTTGGCAAACACCATACCCACCACATCTGGTTGCGACATAAACAAACAGGGAGAGAAACACCCGCACGTGCAACTCCGGCTTCATATCCTATGCGCGGCAGAAACAGGAAAACAAAAACATCAGAAGCAGACATACTGCGATCCCAAAAACGAACAAAAGTCGGAAGGACCATAGTGACCCCGTCTGTGTTAAGGAATGCCTGGCCTACACTTGGCTGCGACCTGCGGGCATCCTGCCTGAGCTGGGCGCGCCAGAGCTCGGGCCAGCGGAGCTTAGGCCAGCGGCACGTGCCGGCACTGGCACGGCCAACCTCGAGCGACGTGAAGCAGGGGAATCGATGCGGAAGCCCTTCGCTACACTGGGCTCTCCGTTTTCTGCCCTGCTAAAAGTGGGAAAAACTTGTGGGTTCAATGGAAACCCAACCTCAGTGAACCAACAAAACAAATTAAACAACAAAAACAATGACTGGGAACCGCCAAGTGTCTAGAAAACAGCCCCTGCAACCGCAAGGTGCCCACATAAACCTCACCTCAACCCCAAGCCGACCCAAGCCGGTCAGCCGGGCTCTGCGTTTGCCGCTCCTTTTTGTTCTCCCCGCGGCACGTCCTCGGCGCATTCACTCCTTCACAGGTCACCTCGAGGTCCCTTCTTCGCTCGCGCAACTTTGGGCGCGAGAGAGCTCAGGCGGCGCAGTGCGGAAAGGCGCACGAATCTGCAGGAGTTGACTAACCTCAGAGATCCAACGAAGTCTGAAAGGATAAAACGTCTGAAACTGCAGAACTCCCAACCAAATGGATTATCATGAATCCATCCACAAGAGGATCTGGGATTGATAGGGCATGCTTCGCCATGCTTGAAACACCGTGTTGCACGTGACCTTTCCGGTACGTAGCTGCCTTTTGTGTTCAGCAAATCGTGAAGCAACGCGCTGAGCAACACATCACTTCTCCGAGCCACCCCTACCCCTGAAAGTTGGATTCCGATTGCCTTGAGGCCGTTTCTGCAGCTCTGGACAAATTAGGCTGTTCCCCACAGTCAATGTTGGCATTCTCCGTGGTGGGATTGCAGAAATATTTGTCTAAACCCAGCGATTTCCGCATAGCCTTCCCAAATCATCCCTCAAAGACCCTGAAGAAAGGAAACAAACAGAGAAACCATCATTTTGGGGCTCCTTAAAGACAATCGCATCACCCATTTGATTGATTCTCCATCTGCAAAGCTGAAGATGGAAGATTACTTCAAAAGACCAGCACCCAAACACACCAAACACGCCTCCAGTGGTCTATCTCCTTCGGTTCTCTCCAAAAGTGGTGAACTTGGGGGGGGGGTCTCGCCATTTCCATGAGGTTGCCTTCTTTGGGCCACAACAAAACTCTCAGGACCATTGGGGAAGCAAACAAAATGGAACAACCTCTGGAATTTCCAACTCAGCAAAAAATCATAAAAAACTGAATTATCTGAAAACCGGTGTTGTTAATTAAAAGCATGAGCCCTTGTCACCTTGTCACTTCATGAAAGACGAACAACGCAACGCGGAAAATTACAAACCAAACAAGCAACACGGAACATACATGGAAGAACAAAAAAAACGCAAGCCAACATGAACGAACCGACATTTATCATTTGTTCTTACCATGAACCAAACAAAAACAACAAAAACAAAAAACGAGCCATTATCCATTTCGAGGATCCAACCATGAAAATTGACCCGCTCATCTCTAAATACAATTTGCTTGTTCACCCAACGACATTAATTGAAAAGCAACAAACTTAATCCCCAGACCGGAACATGTCCATGGGTAAAAGTCTCTGGTGCCTCTTGGTGGTAAGTTGAGTTTAGAGGGTGTTTCCCCTTCCAACAAAAGACAATTGGTCACTGGCCCCCACCCCCAAGCCGGATAAAGGGAAGCCACCAACCAGTGTCCGACTTTTACACAAAGAAACGGGCAACATCATGCCCGCAGCGTCACCGCATGGGTCAAACCTTTTTCCATTTGCTGAAGCCCCTAAAAAATAACCAGTAGCGAAATCGATTCCCTTTAAAAGCAAAAAGGTCAAATAACAAAACAAATCTCAAGCACATGAGGGAATGACCCCTATGCACACTCCCCTATGGTGTCCTTTGTTCGGGAATCCCAAAACGGCTGATTCCCAACACCCGGGCTCGGTCATTCCCTACTGAGCGCCGGCAAGCAAGTTAGGGGTGGTCCCATTTACTACAAGAAGAAGCGGTTCAAGTCCAAATCCAAACCAACAAGGTAAAATGATCTGAGTTCGTTTGTAAAACATTCTTTGTGGTCCACCAAGATATGTTCATTTCAGAAAATATTCCCAGCAGAAACCAAGGGAATATAAAACCAACGCAAATGGAAGACAAAAACACGGAGCCAATACAAAAGAGGCCTTTCAGCCAATGGAGAAAACCAAAACCCAGTGGAACCAATCTATTTCTGTCCCCAAAAGAAGCCGATCGAAAGAACTATGGCATGGGTCAAGCGACCCCTGGTTTCCTAGGCCTCCATTTGTTGAAGTCCCCTGGAAAAGATAGCAATATGTCCAGTGAAATAATTTCTTCTCAAGCCTATGGGCTTGCCAGAAGGAAACAAAAACACATGGGTCGGAACCAAAAACAACTTCAGCCTGTGGGTTTTTTCAGAAGGAAACCAAAAAACATGGGCCGCAAAAATGGGAAAAAAGGGGGAAACAAAAAACAAACAAAACAACAATAACAACAACAAAAAACGCCGCACCGAAGGCGTCGTTCTGCGGCGTCGGTTCTTCGGCTTTTCGAGGCGCCGTCCAGGTCCAAGGCCAGGCGCCGCAGCTGGCGCTCGTGGTTCCGCGCCACGTGGAAGCTCCAGGCCAAGAGGCACAGCCTCGGACGGGACGGACGCTCGGGCCGGACGGACGCCGAAAGATCGAGACGAGCCTCGTGTGGCTCGTCTGTGACCTCCGAGTAGTGTGTGGCCCCCGTTTTATTAGGGGGGGAGCCAAGCTCGTCTTTGTTTTGTGGGTGCTAAAAAGGACAAGGAAGTAAAGCTTGTTTGGGAGTTTTAAAGGAAAGAAATATTTGTTTTGTGGTTTGAATGGGACAACCCAAAGGCCCACGGAAGCCATCCTAGAAGGGAATTCGGACCCAGACAGCTGCACAGGTTGGACACTTTTAGACCCCAACAATTTCCTGGGGGACTTCCAAACTCTGCTCTCCTACAATAGTCCGACTGAATTAAACATGCATCTCCCAGCCCGCGCAGCCCCAGAGCTGAAGTCAAGTTAGACCTCGAAGACTTAATGACCGGCACACTGGTTGCAAGCACCAAAGTCCGCCGCGTTTAGTTTGCAACACCAAAGCAAGCACTCCATTTGCTTCAGTCCCCTGGAAAACAAAAACAAAAACAGCCAGTGGTGACACATTCCCTTTAAAACCAACGAAGAAAAACAAATCACATATATATATATATATTATAAAAAGCTTAACCAAATGGAAGAAGCCCGACAAACTTTCCGAAAGCTCCTGGGTTCTCAAAATAGAGGACCCCGGAAACCAACCACCAGGCATTTGGTCCGTGGGTGCCTCCTGAAACATACCTTCCGCTTTGGGGAGCAGTCCAAAGATCACTCCAAAGATTCTCTGCATTTTTTTTGCAGCAATTCCAAAACCTGAATTTTCCGGGAAGCCCGAGTAAAGCATCCTTATCATCATGAGCTCGTTTACCCCCATGTGAGCTCGCTTGGTCCTTCACTAGCTCCTCCAGTAGAGAGCTTAGAATAAGGGTACCATTTTTTTTGTAGTAGGGGAACCCTCCCCCCAAAAAAGAAACGGTGTCAACGGGCACCAATCGCTGGGGGACCTAGTTCAGCTCCCTCCCCGTCGGATCGTTTTTTTCTCGCCTTGACTCCGAGGCGCAGAGTCATCTCGCAGGAGCTCAGGAAGCTCCAGAGACATTTGGAGCTCCAAAAGACCTCGGAGGTCTTAGGGCACAAAGGACACATGTGGCATATGGGCCCCTCCGAGGTTTTTTTGGGGGGGACCCCTCAAATGGGTGGATTTCCTTTTGGTGTTCGTCTAAACCAACACATGGCACCCTCAAAAGTACACAGAGCTAGATAAATAAAGAAACATGTGAAAACATATCCTTCACATAGAATATGTAAGGCTAATCAAATAATGCCGTTGTGGATAATGTAAACATGTCCTATTGAATAAAGGTAACACGCCCCGACAAAAAACAAACATTTTTGGGTTACACAAGAAAGCCATGTACACTTGCAAGGATGACGTCGCCCCCCGTGTGCAACATGCAGTGCTTCCACCGCACCGAGCAGTGGGAAGCTCACTTAGCCCGCAACTGAGGTTTACATTTTTGAGCCGTGCCTAAAAAATACCCTCAGCCCCAGTGGTTCGCACCGAATCTCATGCAGTTGGGGCTCACTTTGGTTGGATTGACCTTTGCTGTTCGCAACAGTTTTTAGTGATGTAGGGTTTTGTCTTAGCGTTTACAGCTCTGGAGAAGGGGAGCAGGCAGGCCGGAACATCAGGTCGAGGTCCCTTCCGGCATCCTTTAACCATGGAAACTCGCAGGGTGACTGTTCAGGATACCTTCGTTTGATGAATTAGAAGGTAACTAAGAGGAAAGCTGCGCCTTTTGGGGGTCACCTGTGACCCACACACAAAGGGCTCCTGCTAGACTAACTTTTGGTGTAAATCCACTCAACCAACTAAACAGATCCACAAATCTTTGGAACCAGCCTAAACAAAGTGGTGGTTTGGTGGAAACCACCGCTAAACCAACTAGACATATTTTTCATTCCTAAGGAACCGGATGCTGCAACGATCCAAAAGCAGGCCATGAGACCATCTGCCCGCACAGCTCCGCGTCCTCCGCATCCAAGCCGTGGCTCATGGCCATGCCCAGCCTCCGATCAATTTGTCCCAAAAAAAAACGAGTGGACCCACAGCAACTCTACTCGGTTGCGAAATCTGCTCCCCTGCTAAAACTTTAACTGTGGTTTAATGGAAAACCCATTAGTTGGCAAAAAGTTGAAGTCCTAATATCCAAGCAAAATGCACCAAAGATCCTTCTTTTCAGAAAACCATCGTTGACCCCCAGGGGAAACGGATCCGTTTTTTTTGAAAAGCACGACGGTGGAAAAGAATGGGAAGCAACCCCTAGAAAACCTAGAAAAGGAGCTTCTGCCAGCCGACCACTGCTCGTTGCACAGTACCAAGGTGACTTTGGACACGGGGAACAAGCAGGGAAGTTGGGCGTGCTTCTGTTTTTTCCTTGGGAAATTTGGTTAAGTTCTTCAAAACAAAAACAGTAGTTCGGTCAAACGAGTCTGCTGTTCAACAAAAAGGGAGGATGTTCAAACAAACAGGGGAAGCTGTTTCCCAAAAGGGGAGTAAACAAAAGGGCACACATTCCTTTGTTGGTGGCAAAGAGGGTTAACAAGAGGCAGCCTCTTTTACCTTCGTTTTCTGGTTGGCCCAGCGAGCGAATTTGGACGCCAGTTCTCGAATTGCCAACTGCGGTTAGGGTCTTAGATTTCGGCAAAATGGAAAGGCACCACTCGGACAACATAAGTCAGATCTCTACTCGCCATCGATTTTCACGCGAATGCCAAACAATACTGTGGGTGGAAGAAATATTGAAACCCGGAAGGATGATTCCACTGTACATGCCAACAAACGTTATGGTTCCAACCATGGCTTCATTCTGTGGCGCGAAGGCCTTTTTCGTTCATCCACAGTATGGTTACAGTGGAAGGCCGCGACCTGGACGTTGTTTCGAGGAACATTTAGAGTCTTTGGAAAGTTGGTCTAGTTGGCCATCATGCTTCCAGGTTGGGGCTCAAGTGAGGGTCGACTCGTGGCTGCTGACGGCCTTGAGCAGAGGGGTCATAGCATTTCAGCGAGCGGCAGAGGGGTCAGAGCAAGCACGCCCTTGAGCACGGCTGCCATGACGGAGATCCCCAAAGAGCCGTCATTGGCACAGTCGATGACCAGCACCGACAAACCCAACGCGCCGAACCACACCAACAAAGCGTCCAAATCCCGTGGGCAGCGGTCGTCCCCGTGTTCGCTGCCCAAATAGATGATGATGCTGAAGAACACACCTGGGAGCTGGGGCAAAGCACTACGGCATCATGACTTCAGTGTGGCAGGGAACAAATGCTGCTTGCGAATGGCATTAAAACAAAAAACAACTCTTGCAATATGTGTGCTGGCGCTTGGTCCGGGTTCGTGGAATGATTCCAATAAAGACATCCTTTTGGACTTCCCTATCAGGAACAACACTGGATGGCTGGAAGTAGCAGGGCTGGGTTGCCCAAGTCCCTTCTTGGAACGCCAAACTCAGGCGGTTTTGAAGCATGATATTCCATGGCTGCATGTGACGTGGCATGTCCGTTTGGCCACACATGGCATTCTGCTGGCATGTGGTGACAAGGACATCGCAGCAACAGCCGTCGCCCCTCAGGAACCATGCGGTTGAAACCATAATATGTGTGATGATATTTCCGCTGGGGAAGCATTCCGTTGGGATCGTTGGGCTTCTGAACAGTGCTTGACATGGATTTCGCAACCACCCACCCATTTTATTCAAGAGTTGGGTGACTGGTGCTTGAAGTAGATTCCGCAACCACTCGTTGAGAAGACTTCCCCTTCGCGCAGGGCGCTGGGGAGCAGGAGCATGGCGAGGAAGAAGATATGAATC